GGGAGAGATAAAATACTAATACACACATACATGTGTGTATCAGTGTCTGTATGTGCATGGGAGTGTGTGTTAGATCTTTAGGAATATATTACAGATGATTTCATTGCTGAATTCAGGTCTGTAGGTTGGGTTTCCTGGAAAGCTGACTCCAAGGACTCAGAGAGAATTTGTTATGCAAGATGTTTATTAAAGTGTTCCCTTGTAATCAGGGTCTGTGAAAGAGAGGGGAAGAAGCAGGAGCAGGAAGAACGATGTCCTTAAACCCACTATTTTGCCAATATTGGAAGTGCAAGTCAAGTATTTTTGAGGGTAGGGATTCTATCTTAACTGTGGGGAGGGAGTCTTTATTTTCCAGTGTCCCTTGCCTTACAGTTACGAGGTTGCCTAGGGAAGCAAAAATCATCATAGAATTAAAATATTCACTATGATGTTCAGTAATGAGCTGTTTATAATATTTGTCCTCACTCAAAAATCCAATCCTCGTAACAGTAGAATCTGTGTATCCTAATCCATCGCACCAACCAGTCTGTCGAGTTGTTTTGCTTCAGACATTCTCATGCTAGGCAGGATCCCTACCATGGGTTAGTCTGAAATTACAGTGTTAGCGAGGCTGTGATCTCATCTCAGGCTTGGAGTTTTCTTTCAAACTCAGTAGTTTGTGGGATTCAGTTTCTTGTGATTATAGGACTATAATCTCCATTTATATAGTAGATTATATAGGATAGTCACTGTTTCTTGCTCGTTGCCAGCAGGGACAGCTCTCAGCTCCTAGAGGCTACCCTCAGGTCTTTGCCACATGTCCCCTTCCATGCCAGTTCACATGGGGCTGTTTGCTTCTTTAAGGCCAACTCACTCCAGTCTGCTATGACAGAGTCTCATATAACACAACATAATTGCAGGAATAACTAACCCATCATAGTTACAGTCCCCACCCACGCTCATAAGGAGAGAATTACCCAGCACATACACACCAGCAGGCAGGAATCCTGGGGGCTGCCTTAGAACTCTGTCTGCTGCAGCAAGGTTTAATGACATTGATGAAAATGACGTTTGGAGAACTGCTTGATTCCTACCTAGATCACTGATCAGTGAGTAGACCAGTTAACAAAAGAAAACAAAACAAGACAGACCCCAAAATGAACAAAAATGGTGATATTTCAAAAGGGAATGATTTGGCTATCAGGGGATTAAGAGATGCCTTTAGAAAAAATTGTTAAATACCCTAGTTTTTACAAAAAACTGTTCAGATAATCAGCTTTGAAATAAAGGATATTGTATTAGGCTCTCGTAAAATTGTTAAAGAAATTTTGTGTCTCTAAACATAATAAAAAGGTGATTTATTCTTTGTCCTAATGATTAGAAGATAGTTACAATTTAAATTTTCTATGTTATAAAAATAAAAATGGAAGCAATTTTGTTTTTAAAATTTCATTTTTTAGGGTAAATCCCCAATCACATTTATCTATTACAATTTACTGTGAAATTTTGGTCCCATTTTGAGTTGATTTAATTTTTGTGGCCTTTATCTGGGCTCAGTTTCCCTTGGGTAATGAAGGTCTGCACTTGAAAAATATATCACGTTTGGGGAGATGATCAGGTTTGATATATGACACTCAGGGACCATTTCTGTCTAATGATTAGCTATTATTCAAGGATACTGTGTAGTTAAGAGGACTAAATTATCATTTTTAGTATCTATAGATATTAGCTCAGCTGGTTAGACTGCCCATGAAACTATTCATTGAGCCATAATCTCAGTTTTTCCCCGGGGCCTGATATTCAAAACTATTTACAAACAAGAAGCATGGGCGGTGACCAGTCAGAATGAATGCTTGCCATAAACAAATGGTAGGGCCATACTGGGGCATGTCAGGCAACTAAGCAAATGCCACCCTGTTTGGGATATTTCATTTCACTCTGGGCCAGTTGTCATACTGCATTTCAATCCCCAGCTTTCTTTATAAATGATTATGCTGATACCACACTAGCCAAAGGAAAAGGGTGAATTCCCTGTTAAACCATTTGAGAGTCTGCAGCTTAGTACTTAAGCATTTAAAATGGGAACTGTATTCAATATCTTATATAAACTATAATGGAAAAATTTTTTTTAAGAATATAGAAAAAAAAATTTTAAAGAAAAAAGAATACAGATACACACACATATACACATCTGGATCACTTTGCTGTACACCTGAAACTAGCACAGTATTGTAAATCAACTGTTTACAAATCAACTTCAGTACAAAATTAAAATGAAAGTGGAATTTTTAAAAAGACTCATGAAAACTCCCTCTTTCTCTCTCCTCTCAAACAACTCCATTTTTAATTTTTTTTGTCAAGAGGACATTCCTAAAGGGAAGAGTGAATAGCTAGGAAGAAGGGTGGGACTTTTGTTCAGTCTGCGTTCTGGGAGACTGTGCCTGGGATACATTTAGACTTAAACTCCAGATGTTAAAAATCAATGGTTTAAAAAATCAATTTATTATTCTTTTCTTTAAAATGAGGATGGAGAGGGAAAGAAGTCTATACTATGTAGTCTAAGACACTGGCTTTGTGTAGTACTGGCTGTGAGAAGCAGTCCCTTTGACTTTGAGGATGTTTCCAGTGTAATATTAGACCAAGGCCAAAGGGTTGTGCAAGTCATGGCCAAAAAGTGAATGCCTCCTTCCTTTTTTTTTGCACTAGCCACCTCACTTGTCTTATCATAGTCCTGCCCTTGTGTTAGATCCATGACCACAGACTGAGAAGTCCTGCTTCCCTTTTCCTTGGAAACTCAGATTTTCAGAACATTGCAAACATTTGCTTGTTCAGAATTGTTTTCACTATTCTCATTGCTTATTTTTCCAATTTATCCTATTTTCAGAAGTATATATTTTTTAAAGTACATAAGTAATATATAAATCTGTGTTTGTAGAACAACTCCTCAAGTGCAGAATATAGACAAAGAAAGTGAAGAAGATCTCCTTTCAGTTCCGTCTTCCATCCAATCTGATTCCTTCTCTAGAGATGCTTGTTGCTATTGTCTGGTCCTTTCATGCTTTCGTCTATGCATTTATATACACAGAGATGTGCATTGGCCTATATACACTTAAAAATTAATAGGATCATCCTTTACATATTGTTCTGCAACCTTTTATTCACCTCACAGTGTACTTTGCAGAGTTTGCTATGGCAGGAGCTAAAGCTAGATTCTGTTCTTTCTATTTCTTTTTTGTCTGTTATTTTTACTATGTAAATTTTTATTGTATAAATTTCAAGTGTAGCTCAACATACAGAGTAATCACTACCATAAGTCTAGTTTCCGTCCGTCACCATACACTTGACCCCTTTCACCTACTTCACCCACCCTCTAAACTCCTTCCTCTCTGATAACCGCTAATCTGTTTTCTGTATCCATGAGTTTGCTTTTATTTTGTTTTGTTTT